ACCAGGTAGGCTTTCTTCGATGTATTTCCGTACTCCCCGACTATCACCAATTACTCGGAGATAAGTAATTTGGTCAAAGTCTTGGTCTCATCCCGCGTCCACTGCTCCGGAGGAATTTCCTGTTTGTGATTCAGGGGAATCTCATCATAATTCCCTTGAAATTTGATAGTTCAGGAGCCTCGGGGGAGGGCTGGGATGTTCGGCATTTGATTGGTCCGGCTTTTATGCACTAGACTTCCCCATGGTATTCTCTAGGTCACCGCATACTGTACTTTAGTATTCCGTATTCCGTACTCCGTACTCCGTACCTCTGTCGGTATTTGTGTCCCGTCCAAGCGCCCCTGTGTTAAGCCGAGGAGAGGACTGTTAGCAAGAATTGACTGTTTCACTCATACTGTTCGACCCATCTAGGTGGGAACAGCCTCACGTAAGGTGGCAGTTGCACTTGTGAATCAGTGTAGAAAGCCGAAGGTGCAACGGGCCCAGATCGGCTGGTGGAAGTGGAATCTATCGGCCATTCACACCCCCAACGGTCATCCCTTCGAACAGGCCTCAAAAGATGTGCACCCTCCTCGCAACCTATCTTATACATAAATTATTATGCGAACATCCCGGTATCATAAGAAGTACTCCGTACTCCGTACATCGGGGTGCTCCATAGTTCCATAGTTTAACAGTAAGCACGCACGGAGCGTATACATTTTCGTATACCCTCGACTCCGTAGACGCATGCAAAAGCCGTATTGAACTCGAATCTTCACCTTTCCCGAAAGATCATCGGGTGGACTCTCACAGCGAGACACACTTGGGTCTATCACGCCACGTCCGAAACCAGGCAACTTGGGTAACCTCCAAACTCGACTAGCAATCCAAGTGCGCTATCTTGGCGGCAAAACCACGGTCAAGCTGAGTAGGTGTCATGTTACCAAATGGATCTTCACATCAGAGAAAAAAAAAAGTCAGGCGAAATTAAAAAGAAATTGGAATTTCTCTCTCCACTTAGGTTTCCAAGCCACGGAAGATGTTTCGTTTCTAGAACCCCCAGACAGAGAAGGTGGACTTGAAAGGGAGAAAAAAAAGTCCACTGTGTCATAGTGCTCCATCTTGTTAGACGATCTATGCCGCGGGTTTTAAAAGGTTTTTTCTTACCGTGGACTAGAGAGAGACTGCTGATTGGTGAGCTATTATAGTGACCCCCGTCTTTTACTGCTTTGGGACGTGTTCACTCGTCACAGTACGGAGTACACAAAGAAGCTCTTCAAAGGTTCAATATGTCTCTTTCCCCTTGATTTACATTCGCTTCTCTTCTCTTTGGTGGGTCGAGAATAGAAAAAAAAAAAAAAAACCAGGAGCCTGAGATGGAGTCTTTTACCTTGCCATCCCGGTTGCGGTTCATTTCTTGTGCACAATTCCCGACAGCTCCACAACTTTTACCTATCGCCTTTCGCGGGTGAGATTACTCCAGTCCTACCTGCAGAGCTCACCTGGGCGTCAGTCTTATCCCGGCCTTTTTTATGGTGTAGTGTCAAGGGGAAATATTTAATTGCTTTTTTTTTTATGAAAATGTCAGCCTTGGGAAGGATCAAGTCTGGGACAAAAAAGTATCATCCCCCCCCCTGTGTGAAAGCTAGGATTCCACCGATGATCGCTCTCAGACAAGTACCCTCAATCATTGGCGCTTGCAGTTGACTGAGACCGCTATGATCATGATCCGCAGAGTCATGAAATTCAAAGGTGCATCGTTTAGTATCTGTGTGTCGACTCGATGCACGCGGAACCCCATCCCATCAAGGAAATCATCCGAGCTCACATCTTCTGTATATCCATCACGTACCAATCCTACAGTCACGGGGCACTTGGGAACATCTCCGCAGCACTTTGCGCAGAACCACAATTCGATATTGCGTCTTGATTGGCGATGAACATCCAAAGTTTCCGATACACCACTTAGTTGGCAGTGTACTCCGAGAAATCCACGGAATTAGGGATCTCACCCTGCTTATTAGATGGGAGTCTTAACTTAGCAAAACTGAAGTTGATCATTTCATAGACTTTTGACTCCGGAATAGCTTCTATTGTATAATGGTATAACCCATACACATCAACCGGTATACTTTGTCTCTTTCATGTCTTTTTGTGGCTCTATTAATTACACGTCAACCCTGACGCTTCCTTCATCATTACACGGCGGGGCTTGGATTCCGATGCGCTCTGCGCCCGGCATCAACTTCCTCTTGAAATTTTAAATTGTTTGAAATATTGTGACATTTGATTGCGTTTTCCCTCAGGTAATCTATCTTATGCGTCAGTTGCAAGCCAAAAAGTCACCTTGCAAAAACATTCTCAACACCGTGTTCAACCACCTTGCTGTGCCTCTTACCCAGCACGGCTCCTTGCATGTTTCCCATCCTTGCGGATTCCTACAAAGTACGGAGTACTGAGGTCAATTATTCAATAGTATAGAAACATTTACCTCAATATCACATAACATCATATGTAGTATTCTGGTTGCTGGATGCTATCGGGAATTTCCTCGCACCCTTGTACAACACAGGTTACAATGATCTATTGTGGATGATTTGCGGTCTACGCCCGAGGCTTTACATTCTGTGTTCAATTTCAATAGCATGAGGCTGCTATTAATCCTTTCTTCCTGGCGTCATTATTCGATTCACTCCCCAGATCAAGGAGAACGCAAACATTTGTGAAGGGTATTGCCCCTTCAACTAGCCGAAGAGGGAATTCTCAAGTCCTACTAAATCCGAAACCCGAGTAAAGGATGGTGGAATTAAATGACTCCAAATAGCAGATCCGGTCCTTTTGATGTCGGTTGGACTTGAATGTTAATATTACCTAGTGGGTTATCTATGACGTCGGAGTCATACTGTATATTGTAAGGTTGTCCATGCACGGAGTACAACGTTCTATACTCCATTACGATGTACATACCATGAAAAGCTGTTTTATGGGTGCGAGACAGATTGTCATCATCCATGGATATCCATCTGCAATCTCACGATGATCAGACCCAATTTACCCAACTGCACGCCACCTACTCCGTCCTCCGTAGATGGTTGCCTTTCTTTAGTCTCTTCCGAGCAGTCACCGACAGGCTGCAGCACCCTGACCTTAACCTTCCCGGAAGTGCACACTTGGTCAAGGGCAAATGCAAAGGGTCTCTCTCGCACACAGGACCGTGTGACAGAACAGGGTCATCTCGCGCTATCAGTTGATGCCTTTTGAGGCTGATTTCCGATTCCAGGCTTTGTGCTTCAGCCCCTCCCTAGTGCGCACAGGGGCCAAAATCCAAAGGCGATACTCTGTAGAGGGGGTGGACAAGCCCAGATAATCCACATGCTCGAACGGTTTTTCAAAAGACAGAGCAGGTTGAGGGGCAACGATCGGCCATTATGTTTTTTTTTTTAGCCTTTTGACTTTTTGCTTGACCAGGACTTATCTCGGAATTTGTCTGGATCCTGCAAAGCGCCCCGAGCACATCACAAAGCAAAGCGCTGGTTTCTGGCGCTGGCGCTGAGACTGACAGGGTCTTGGGAATCTTGACTCTTGGTACGGAGTACGAAGTACGGAGTACATCAATGACTTGTTTGCTTCCGCTCGTGATTTGACTTTAGCGGAATCTATAACCTACCGCTTGACTCAATGGGGCCTTGGGGGTATTCGATACTCTTTTTCGCCCCTCCCGGACTCTCGGTGGCTTATGAGTGATGGCGATTTTGACAGTGTAGAAAATAAAATCTGGCTAACTCCGGATTCCAAAAATTACATTGGCTGCTCTCTTGACAAATTACACTCAAGAGTCCAGACTTCAGAAATCATACAGTGTAGTGTACATGCCAATATACAAAGTGTGGGGGAATATATCCATTACGTAGCCTTGTCTCAGTCGCTTGGAACGTCTGAGATCGGATTTTTCGGGGCTTAGTAATACCAGGCACATGGAGGGCACAGTTCTCGAGAGTCTAGAGCCTCGATAATCAAATATTATATGCTGAGCGGTCACAACTCGATGATCCTAGCCGAAACGCACCTCCAAAATAATTATTCTGCTTTAGAATCATTTTACAATGGTGGAGTCAAATACAGAGTCCAAATAATCTGACTCCCTTTCTTACTACGAAGTACTAAGTACTCCGTACTCCGTACTGAAATAGTACACAGTGTCCTTCGTACATCACATTCCCGTCTACATCCGGGAGCCACTTCTTGTTTTCACTTTGATTTTTTATTTTTGGTTATTTTGCGATGGAAATGAGACAAATCAAAATAATTAGCAAAAGTGTTTCAACTCAGTAAGCCGTCCTATGGGAAATGGCTCATCTTCCCCCGGCCCAAGACGTGTTGCAATGCCAGGTACAGTCCCGAGGCGAGCTGGACTTGTTTCCAATCTGCTGCCTGTACTTGACTCAATACGTCCTGTAGACTGTAGATGTGAATTTGTATATGCAATATAATACCAGGGCCAGGATGAAGTCAAGATAGAAAAACCAAAAGTACACGCGGCAAAAGAAACCGTCAAAAGTTGGGAAAACTCGGATCAGCGGACTACCCTCGCCTGCGCAGCACCATGGATGAACGGCACACCTATGTCACAGTCATCGACATCTCACAGATCGCTGAATCACTGTTCGAACATCTGCAGATTGACCGTTCGAGGTGAATGGACGAGAACCGTGAAAAACTCAAGAATTCGGACCCAATCGTATTTGAGTTCCCATTATCATCATTGTGTCTCCATATCTACTTGAAACTAAATCTTTGACCTCCCGAGGTTGGTGGCTGACGACGTCTTCCTTTCAAGGTCTCCGACGCCATTGAGACATGGTCGTGGCCATGACCAGGGAACACAGGCCAGTGGCGGGTTTGTGCTTTTGGCGTAACCGCCCTCTCACCCTTCGTGTTCCTTTCATCTCTTCTTCTCTTCGGCAACCGCGGGTTGAAGCCAAATCTGATCAACTTTCAGGGTTTCTTTGTTAGTCGAAATGTTAGGGGCGACGGGTTTATTCAATCGTCCTATTTCCGAACCCGACCGGGGGCTCGCTGGTCGGATTATTCCTTGGACCCTAGCGGGGTTGCTGGTCGCTGGTGACGAGGCTGCTCACAGCTTTGCTGATTCTTCTCGTTTGCCTGGATCAAAATCGACTGGCCTGGATGGAATGTACACCATGGCATACTTTGATTGATTCCTCGTTTCCGATTCCAAGTTTATAACCACATACGCCATGGACGAAATAGTACAAGCAGGCGATTCTCATGCAAGTTGCATTTGGGTCTAGCCTTACTTCGAAAATGCGAAGTGTCTTAATCTTGGCCCAAACGATGTATTCGTCTTTGGATATGCATGTCTCTCCGTTAAAAACACGTGGGGGCTGATTTCTTCCAGGCAATAACTATGATATCCAAATTTGACCTGTATGTTCTCTTCCGCATGATTGTTCCGAATCACAACGCCACAACACAAAATGGGCCTTCGAGTCAACTCGAGAAGAATTAAGCAAGAGATCAGCGCTTCATGGCTACGGGCATCTTCGGCTGGTTTTGATACGCGGATGATTAGCCCTTTACCAAGCCCGAAGGCCTGATGGCGTCTGAGTCCGCCTTGTCGCTTTCGATGATTCAAGCATTGGTCACATCGCTTTCTATTTGATATATATTATCATCTCATTGGACTCGTTGAAACCAGAAATTGCAGATCACTGGTCTGTGAGCGGGACTAACTGGCCATGCCTGTTGGTTTCGATCTGACCATAATGCATATTCCAATCTGATACCTTGTCTCTTTAGCCTAACGAAGCCTCTCTGCTTATCTACTCACGACAACAATACTGCCCCATCAAACATGTGTATTCAATGCATCCAATGCACCCACCAAACTAACCAGTCAACGTTGGTGGAAGCAAGCAAGGCACAATCCGAAAAGGCGAAATTTCAATAGAATACCACCGGATTTGATATCCAGCGTCTGCCCATATATACAGACACGAAGTCACGTCAGCATTTGAAACATCATAATTTGGCCTCGCCATACCCATAATGGAACCTCCCATTTCCTGGGCCCAAAGTATCTCACGAACCGACTGGCCACATTCTCATCTCGCAGTGTGGCCAATGTATTGGCCCCTGTAACGCAGACCAACGAACCCCATGAAAACCCGAAGCATAAGCGATGTCAAATCCGACCAGACGGGGCCGATAGGGAAAAAAAGGAAGTACAACTCATGATATTCTATTCTATAATGATTTAAGCCACATTTCGCATACCCATACTTACAACACTCCAATAAGGGTGTAGTTCCTTGTCCAACACGGATACCCCGATATACTCAACTAACCCAGATGCAATTCAGATTTTTGACGCGTAGGCAAGCAAAGGCGGGGCAAATAATCAAGAGCGAGGCGATATTATGCTCGTACCCGCATAATATCACACCTATACACTTGTCAAGCAAGGTTCCAGCCTACTCAATAGACAGGCTCACCAGTCACAGGCTCCTAAGCCTGCTTACCTGCATACTCTGTGGGCGAATAGGTGGGCATTTTTCAGCGCCGTTGTGTTTGAAATCCATATGGGCTATCGCTTGTAAGTGTCTGTAGAATCTGTCATATGTAAGCTCTGGTGTTACCATTGAATGCTTTGAATAATAGGTTCTTTTTCCGTTTTTAGGTCGGATTGCTTTAACTTTATGATGTATAAGAGGGCTTGGAAACCCCCGTTGGAAAATATATTGCGCTACCGTTCTCGTTATCATCCCCAGTCAACTTTTTAGTTGTTGGAGTGTGGTTTTATATAGGTGCTAGCGACGAATTTCACGCACGATATCCCGTCGAGTGGTTGGATATGAGATTGTCTTATTCAAGTCATATCGGACCATGATGTCTCGGTTGATCTCCTGGCTTATGCTTATATGTAATACATGCTCTGCTGACACTCTGGGAAGTGAGGTCATACAGCAGCCTTGAACATACCTCAAACTCAACAGCCCTCGCCTGCCATTCGGGAATATAAGCATGAGTGAGCATGCATCATCCCGAGATCTGCCGCAAACACTAGATTAGCAAATGAGAAGGAAGCTCCTGGCGCAATGTTTCATCCGATATATTGGCTTGCACTATGGAACATATGATATGGATATCATATCCGAAGACTTTTCTTGTTACTACTCATACTTGAATGTAAAGCGCTAAGCATTTGAGCTACTCTCTAGCGCGCGTGGATTTTATAATGCGCCAAACTAACTTGTCACCAGACGCTGACCGTGTTGCCCCCGGAACTGATATCAACTCTTCACGAAAAACCAGTATCAGCGGTAATAAACCGGTGCATTCTCGATCACCCTCGAGCAAGATAACGAGTGCCGATTGAGCACCTGAACATCGAACGGTGATGACAGGCCGATTTTGGCCGATTTTGGCCGAGCTTTCCTAGGTGCCTACGGGATCTTCAAAGTTCGATGGAAGAAACCGGGCCAGTGATGTCAGAGCGGAACTTCCCCGGATTTTACCAGAGATTCTAGCATATGTCGAGCTCCAAATTAGGGCTGGAAGGACTGGAACGGGTAATACCGGTTAAGAGTTAAGGAATTGGAGAAAAGTTGTATGGAGATCAAGAAAGGCTTTACCCCAAAAAATAACAATTTGCCGGTTAATTCTCTCCTCACCGGGAAATGTCCCCTCACTCCAATTTTATTTTTCGCTTTTTTTTTTTTGGTTTTTTGGCTTGTGATTCAAGCTCTTATCAAGCTCTTAGGACTATAGCATTTGCACCATTGTATAATTCTATATATCTATATATAAGGAGGGACGGAGTACAGCTTACATATAGTAATCAAAAAATAAAAATAAAAATAAAAAAATATGTAGATAGTACATTGTTTACTATGGGAAAGCACGCAATCGGTCAAGTATTAGATACCCAGTTACCCCCTTTGGGTCCGGCTACACCGATTCGCCCAAAACAGCAACGCAATGAAGCTTATCAAATCTTTTTTTTTTCCCCTTCTTAAATTACTCCGCCCTTGATAATTCATTCCTGCATTCCATTTGTTACCTTTGGTGTGTGTCCTCTCACAATGGCTGGCAGCACGCTAGCAATTCGCAAGATGGCTCCGTCCATCATGCAGCTGTCGTCGATGACGCGCAGGTCAATGTCAACATCACAGCTGGCTCTTCGCGCAAAGCCGGTGCGATCTACTAAAGTTTCCCAGTCTGTGTCGCGTATTGCTCGTCGTAGCTACGCCGATGCTGCCCCCTCATCTGCCCCGAAGTCTAAGAAGCGTTTCAGACCTTTGCGTTGGGCCTGGCGGTTGACCTGGCTCTCTGCCATCGGTCTGACCGGTACTGTCGCATACAGCATCTTCGAGCTCCGTCAACCTCCGGACCAGTCTCCCCCTGACCCATCAAAGAAGACTCTGGTCATTCTCGGTATGTGTCGGTCGCGATCGTCGATCCCCTATGGCTGAAGTGTCGCTAATGCGACTTATGTTTGCTCAGGAACTGGCTGGGGCTCCGTTTCCCTCCTGAAGAAGATTGACACCGAGAACTACAACGTTATCGTCGTCTCCCCCCGTAACTACTTCCTTTTCACTCCCTTGCTGCCCTCATGTACCACCGGTTTGATCGAGCACCGCTCGATCATGGAGCCTATCCGCAATATCCTGCGCCACAAGAAGGCCAGCGTTCAATTCTACGAAGCCGAGGCTACCAAGATCGACTATGAGAAGCGTATCGTGTACATCAGTGATGATTCGGAAATTAAGGGTGATATCTCGCACACCGAGGTTCCCTTCGACATGCTTGTGATCGGTGTTGGTGCCGAGAACGCGACTTTTGGTGGGATCCCCCTCGCATTTGGAACGAGGCATTTTGGGCTAATTTTATGACGTATAGGTATTCCCGGTGTTCGTGAAAACTCCTGCTTCCTGAAAGAAGTCGGTGACGCCCAGAACATCCGTAAGCGTATTATGGACTGTATCGAGACTGCCTGTTTCAAGGATCAGACCGAGGACGAGGTCAAGCGTCTGCTGCACATGGTTGTGGTGGGCGGTGGCCCCACTGGTGTTGAATTCGCTGGTGAACTGCAGGACTTCTTCAACGATGACTTGAAGAAGTGGATTCCCGAAATCAAGGACAACTTCCACGTCACTCTCGTCGAGGCTCTGCCCAATGTTCTGCCCATGTTCTCGAAGCAACTGATTGAATACACCGAATCCACCTTCAAGGAGGAGGAGATCTCCATCCGCACCAAGACTATGGTCAAGAAGGTTACCGACAAGTACATCCAGGCCGAGGTCACCAAGCCCGACGGATCCAAGGAGCTTGAGACCATCCCCTACGGTCTTCTCGTCTGGGCCACTGGTAATGCCATCCGCAGCGTCGTCCGTGACCTCATGTCCCAGATCCCCGCCCAGGCCGAGTCCCGCCGCGGTCTCGCTGTCAACGAATACCTCGTCGTGAACGGTACCGATAATGTCTGGGCCGTCGGCGACTGCGCCATTGCCAACTACGCCCCGACCGCCCAGGTTGCCAGCCAGGAGGGTGCCTTCTTGGGCCGCCTCTTCAACACCATGGCCAAGACCGAGGCTCTCGAGAAGGAGCTCGAGACCCTCTCAGAGCGTCAGTCCCAGGCCAAGGGCGACGAGGAGCGCAACCAGATTTTCGACGAGATCCGCGAGCGCCAGAAGCAGCTCCGCCGCAACAAGCAGATCGGTCCCTTCCAGTACTCGCACCAGGGCTCCTTGGCCTACATCGGCAAGGAACGTGCTGTGGCCGATATCAGCTGGCTGAGCGGCAATATCGCCAGTGGTGGTACCATGACCTACCTGTTCTGGCGCAGTGCTTACCTGAGCATGTGCTTCAGCAGTAAGTTCCAAGTTCTATCCCTACCATTCATCAAGATTCATCATTAACATAACATCTAGCTCGCAACCGTGTCCTTGTCTGCGTCGACTGGGTCAAGGCTCGTCTCTTCGGCCGTGATGTCTCACGGGAGTAAATATCTTCACCCGGGTTCAATGATCTCCTGTAATATTGCCATCTATACTGCATTTCCTTTTGGCTATCCAATGCCTCCCTTGACACATTGACCGTATAATGTGTTCCGCTACGCCCCCCCCTTATGCCACCCCCACTATCATTGTCTTGATTTTTTTTTTTTGGACTTGTGACCCTGATAGACGTATCCATTTCCCGTCTTTTCCTGATGACTCACGGTTGGTGCTGCGATTGGTTCCATCCAGAGACAAAAGCAATAATTCGCGTCCTCTCTGTTTCGCTTTTGGTTTCTATTTAGACTGTACTGTACGCGATCGGAATATATAGACTGGGTCTGGGATTGTTGTATTGAACTGTTATTTCCATCTGTGAATCATTCTTACTCATTGGATAGTGCGGCTAACACTGCATGCGTGGATTTCACCTCTGGCTCGCTGGGCATCATCTTCGATTCTGCGGCTCGACATCACAGATCTGGGTCATCCATAAGAGAGTACCCACATCCATCCCCGTGCATTTCGTGCGTATACCAGCTCTGCAGGCTCACTTCCCAGCGCCGCAGCTCCTTGATTTTTCTCACCCCATAGACCACATCAAGATCCACATCTCCCATCGGCGATTGAAGTCTTAGTACCGAATCCCACGTCCAAGTATCCTTACCAAATACCGGCCGAATGTGAGGTCCAAGGTGCGCCGTGTTCCACGTATCAAGCACGATATCCGTCTGCGCATTGGCCGACATCACCGCTTTGAGGTAGTAGTCTACCCCGTCCATCTAGATATCCGGATCACCCCTGATAGAAGGGCTTTCCAGGCCAGGATAGCTGCAATGCATCCTCCAATAAAAGAACGCTGCCGCGCCATCGAATGACTTGACCACTAGATCGTAAATCATGTTCATACGAAGCCTACCATACTCTTCAAATGAAGGTTCCCACTGGCGCAGAGATATATGGCCGATAGGGGTCTCTTGTCGGTTTATCCGGCCCAGCGACATTGCGGGGGGGTTGTTGGACCAGCATTCGGCGCCAACTTGTGCTTGGATGGAGCCATGCGGCGTGTTTGTCTAGAAACTCTTGTATACCCCCAGCCCTAAATGAGATATTGCGGGATTTCTGGTCGTCATTGGGGAACCGATAGGGAAACGTTGCTGCTAGTAAAGCATTCGGTTGTGGGATGGTCGTATTTGGGAGGGCGGATTGTGTAGGCTGGTAGAATAGGGCTTGCTGGAGTGCCCGGGAGGCTTGGATGCACCGAGCCCAGCGTCGACAGACTCGTTGGGCGAGTAAGAGTGTCTGCTCGTCATCCACCGATATGAGAATGATCTCTGAGTTCTTCGGGAAAATTGTCTAACCCCATTTTTCGGACACTACGCGCTTGGAGGAAACACAATAAGCAATAAGCAATGGAGTTCTAGTTCAGCGGGGTAGTCTCACGTAGAGGACACAGTCTAAATACATAGAGCTGTTTGTATATCTCTGGGGGCTCTGTCCCTTTGGTGGATGTTGAAGGCAAAAGAGAGAGAGTGGTATAAGAGCTTGATCATTGGAGTCTACTAATAATATTGACAAAACTAGGTATTCTTTCCAGGTAGTCGCATTTGTTTCTCATATTCGAGCTTCGCAAAATCATACGTCTATATATTATACAAAGAGAGCTTTTTGGACTCTACAAATCCCTATATCTTCACTTCTCTTTGTTTTTCTTCTCTAGATGAGCCGGTGGCTTCAAAGGGATCACAGGCGTCGGCCCTCTCGTCCTTTTTACCCCAGGTTGATCGGCGCCATCCGCTGGAATAGGCCGCTTAGCATGGACCGGTAAAGCGATGTTCGATTCAGATGCTGGCTTAAGTCCTCCTGCTGCAGGATCTTGGACCTTCGAAGAAGGAGCGGTACTCTTCTCTGGAATATTCTCTGTGAAATTCTCTACCTTTCCACCCCAGGCGGTTATCACCCTTTCACAATTAACGCAAGGTCCGACCAATGCCTGCAATGCTTCCTGATGATTGTATGTGTCTTGAGATAGATCCTTACGCTTTAATGCAAGGCCATAGACCTCCTCGCTAGGGTTATGGTTCCTAATTCGTTAGTATGGAACATATGGGATCTCAGGGCATAGACTCACCGTAAAATATGCACTAGGGGATATGTTTCTGCGCAGTTTCCGAAAGGAACAATATTGGTTCCTCGAGTTAGGTAAGTTGAATCAAACATCGTGATATTCGCTGTGTCAATTCTTTCATCGCGAAGAACATCAAAACGGGCTTTTCGCAGGATTTCTATCCAGTAGTTGCTCTGCCCTTCCGGATTGCGATATCCCGCGAACGATCCTCCCAAGTGAAAGCGGCTCTGTTGACCCTCTTCCTCTGCCCAAACGCACGCATACGTCCATGGGGAATACGGAGCCATCTTGATACACCATTGGGCGTACATTATTGTCAGAGGTAGGTAGAAGTTGTTCTGTGTCGCACCTTCGGGTGCTGGGCTAAAAACGGAAAGGAACCTACCTAGAAGGTCATAGCAGCACCAATATAAAGTACCTCTATATGTCATGCTATCCAACAAGAAGTATGATGTATCCTTGCTATGGTTTGGGTTAACTTTCCTCGAAATTGATTGGGGGTGGGAGGCCTCAGACAGATATTTGCTCCCATTTTCACTGCAAGAATCCAATCAGTTGACAGAACATAGGGTCTAGTGGACATCCAACTCACCAAAGATCAAAAATATCGGTACGCAGTCTTCTCATTTCCCCTATGGCGTTCTCATCCACCCCATAGGTAGAAGGGCTATCTATAAGGTCGAGCATAAAAGCTTTCATCTGCACATAATTAGCTTAGCTATCCTCTGGCAAAATTGAAGAAGTCTACAGCTGCAGCAACTTACTTGTGTTAGGCTCCAAGTGCATGCATCTTTCAAGTTCAGTTGGCCATTGAAAGCCGGCAAAGATGTCTCGGCTGTAGGAGTTATCAAGGTTGTTGACATTGCGATTGTTATCGTTCATGTAGCTTGGTGGACAAGTCGCCGTCTAAATACTCCCATACTGGCAATTCGTTCCTTTGCTAGGACATATTAGATTTCATGAAAGACCCCATGGGTTTTAAAATAGCGTGGATTCTCAAAAGCGGAAGTGAATATCTTGAAACATGAAGTTCCCATACAATTATAGATCTGACTGCTATATAAACAGCCGAGTGTTAATAGAAAGGGGCACCATGAAAGAAGGATGAACAAAGGATCAAACCATCCCAAATCTTTTTTTAAACATAATTCTTTTGTTTCAGACATATCACTCTTACGCAGAGCAGGATATCTTTATCGACGGTTACCCTTGCCATAAGAGTTTGCCTGTTTCCCTCTGTCTCCAGCTACATGAGGAAAATGGCCCCTAAGAAAAAGCTTCCAAAACTAAAGAGATTCAATTTTCTGGTGAGTCTGACCTGAATCTGTTCTGAACAAGATAAATCTAGATGGAAGCCTCGCCGATCTATAAGGCTTGCTGGTCTAGTACCACCAATGATCTTTTTCGATGAACTAGAGCCTCCACCAGGGAGTCCACGTTGGCGACCAAAGCTTCAGGACGGCACGAAACCAACACGGGTAAGTATATCGCTTTCCACCTACCAAAGCCAAAGTTGACAATAACAGTGGGCATCTACTGACCCTCTTGGATTCTCGAGTGATACAGTGGCACTTGACTATGATGAATGGAAGGGGAAAGACGGTGCCCAAAGGCGCGTGATTGCGTATGGCCTCACCAATTGTGTGCTGGTGTTCGTGTCTTAAGATTTGTGCGACACTATTTCCGAATCAAACGGCAGGTACTATCGGAGATCGCGATGGTAAAGCCTGGTACGCATCCTTCATGGTCTGGGGGGTATCAAGGATATCATCACTCACTGGGGACAGGGAACACTGTCCTTGGAGTGGATTGGGTACGTGTAATTGACTCTGTAATAGGAAGCCTTATTGGCGATGACGGGTTGCCTGCCATATTCAAATGTGGACCGTGTACCTACTGGCCAAACTCCATAGTAGCTAGGATTTCTACAGATCAAGAATAGATTATCAATTGTGTGTTGAATGGGCTAGAGCTATGTACATTGACTTCAAAACCCGTAGAGATACGTACTAGTATCCCAAGAAGAAGAGTGAATGGGGAGATGGCTAAACAGGATGAAAAGGGTGATGAGAAACACTAGCAGAGGTATCGAAAATTCAGATCATTTCGCACAGGGGAAGGGCTCTGAAAGAAACAAAATTTCTTCTAGAAAAGGTTCCAACGGCTCCGCGTTTCTTTTCCAGGAGGGCCACGTTCTGATTTCCGAGCGCGGCCGTCAAGTTGTCGGATGCCTTCGATCTTCTGCAGAGCCAGCTCCAGCAGCTCCTTCTTACGGATGATGTCCAAGTGACGGCGTATCCGGGGATCCTCGCGGGCAAAGCGTTCGACCTCCTCATCTGAAAGGTGCCGTCCAAGTCTTGAATCTAGCTCACGGGGGAAATTATAGTAGAACTCAGATAAGAGCTCGACATTGAGGAATAGCACGGCCGTGGAGGTGAGTTTGTCTGCCACAACATCCAGGAAGACCTCTGGGCAGTGGTACTTGTTCTTTTGCGTTGCGCATTGCTTTGAACGGACGGCGAGCATTCTCATCCTGATGAGATCCGCTCGGTCCCGAAGAAACAGACCTTCCCGTCCTAGATAATATATGTCAGTGTTTGAAAATAGAAGAAAGAGGAAAATACCAACCTCTCTCCAACAAGGAGGCACTGAAGCCACCCGCACCACCCTCGCCGTTGCCCTCTAGTACTACTTCGCCCTTCCGCACCCTGTCGATAAAGGAGATGACGTCTTTGAGTTTTCTCTTTCCAACAGTGTCCTCTACATGTTTCAAGGCCGACTCGCACGACTTGAGCTCTTCCTTGAGAACTTTGCCCACATTGTCTCTACCTTTAGCCCATTCAGGATCTTCAATCTCGATCTCATACTTATATGGCTTGATGCAATTTTCAACTTGATCGCTGGTGCTGAAGAATTTGTCATTCAGGATACTGGTGCATGCATCGGTGATCTGTTTGTGAGCGCCAGGGTGGGAGGCGAATGTAGAGGAGGCTAGAAGCGAGTCTACATGGTTGTTCAAAGCATTGGCGACAACAGTCGTAGCCAATCGACCAATTCCAAGCTTTGTCAATGATGAGGTAGAAGCATCCAGCTTCCGGTGCCAATATAGCGACTCGGCATCGGCTTTGGGGAGATCCTTGAGAGGATCTAATTCCAACGGTGGAGGATCCAAGTCATCGACCGGCTTGTTCCAGTAGCGCTGCGCCAGAATGTCCATGACCCGCTGGTCTAATTCTGCCTTGAGCATCTCCCGAACCTGCGGTCGCCCGAAGCTTTCCGCGAACGCCTTGAAAGAGTGCTTGAACGCATCGAGGCTCTCAGCCAAGTGAGACTCCGCGCTCAAAGGCCGGTCATTATATTGAACCTTGAACTCATAGGTTGCCTCTTCAAGCTCTTGGCTGATGGCGTCTCTGGTTCCAGTCAGGCTAGATGACATTGTCTGTTCAAGAACCTGCATTAGCGTTTTCCGCAGTGTCGAAACACCAACTGAGACGTCAGAGTGGGGTCCGAATTCATTCTGATGAGCAGAGAAGTATGCATGTTCATTCTTGAGAATGGCGCTGGTGATGTTTCCAGAGCCTCTAGAAAAAAGAGCTGTTGTCTGAGGAATCCGAGTAACGACACCCACGTAACCTAGCCGAAGAGGGTATTTTTTATCCGAAAGGACAGCGTGACCACGTTCGGGGCTCACAAGGTCCATCTTCGTAATTACGCCGATAGTCCGTTCGCCCCGAGGGTCTACTCGACGACTGGCTCGAAGTGCTGTCGAGTTTGCTAAGTCAACGTCGGCGGCCGAGATCGCCAAAATGACATTTGGTGGCTGAATGTATTTATCGCAAAGATCAGCAATCTTTTGTTTGAGCTCTGGGGGCTGATCTCGGCCCGCAACCTGGATATACCCTGGCAGGTCGATCAAAGAGAGATCCGGAACGTTGGGAGAGTATATCGTAAGCTGAATGGGATCGTCTGTGACACAATCCTTTTCGGGAACAGCAAGGTTCAGATCTGTGAGTGTGCGCTGAACTTGAGAGAAATCCGTGATCTTTCCAAGACCCAGGGCCGGGAATTCACCGTATTCTGCTTGAGCGTTGGGAGTGTTGACCAGCGTGAGCTCAATTGGCCGTCGAGTCACCATGTTCGAGCCCTTGGGCAAGAACTCGTGGCCGACTATAGCCTCAAGAACAGAGCTTTTGCCCGAAGATTGGGAACCAATCACGACGATCGAGGGAAGAGTGAGCGTGCCAGACTGGCCGATGGTCTGGAGAATATTTCGGATTTCGATCATTTTGCGTGTAAGCAGCATCATTTGATCATCCTCCGCAGCATCTCTCCCCGGTCGTAGGTCTTCCTCTCCCGATTGATTGTATCCAAACGCCGTGGTAGTAGCGGCAGCAGCAGCAGTACCAGCTCGGCTTTGTTTCGGCTCTTTTCCTCCACCACCAGATGAATCGCCCTTTCCGGACTTAGACTCTTCGTCGAGACGTAGGATTTTCTGCAGCCAGTCAGGCATATCGATATCTTCGGTCGTCTTGTTCCACCCGCGATGTGTCTGATCCGCCATGTCCTGCAGTCCTTGGAACAAGGTCGAAGCTGTGTTCCCCGCAGTCTCTGAGGCTTGCTTGAAGACACCCATCGCATAGTTACCGGCCTCTGAGAGATAAAATTAGCTTGAAATCCTAATTGTAGCGAGATTTATGCACGAGAGACGTACGAGTTGCTTGGTATTGGAAATAAGCTAGACCCGCGATTGTCGCACCACCGAACATAGCCGGAACCCTGACAAGCTTCAATGCTAGTTTCGGTAGCATTCGAGCAAATGAGATTGATCGAACTGCAGGGACATTGTGGATGGCATTTGCGCCCACTGGCCATGCGCGTCTTCTGAGAGTAGCGCCACCATCTGCCCGAAGCAGGCCGCCAGTCCTTGAGCCTGCATTATGGATATGGCGAGTAAGGTGACCGTTCCGCAATAGCGGTCCTAGTCGATGGGAGAGAATCCTCCCACTCATTATTGTTGTGGTATCATTCAATAGACGATGAAAATAAATGTGATGGCTTTGTAGATTACCGGATCACTGACATCAGGCATAACTTATGTAACAGTTCCCGTGACTTGCACAAGTAGCCGCACAGTCTCCCGTAGTATCACAGTCACGTGAAGCATGACGTGCTGTGCAAGGGAAGTGACTCTATTCATTTGTGTTGATTTTGATAAAAAAAAACAATTCTTTTCTCTTGGTAATTTGTGGCACAATCACATCCTGAATTCAATATCATCGGGCCGTAACATCGTGGTTGACGTTTGGGCATCTCACTGGTTCCCAACAGTCGGTGACTCTTCATCCCGAACCCCACGAAATCAAGTCTATTGATACATCCTTTGATCACGAGTACGATTTTTTCGAATGACAAACTTGGTATACACCTGACAAGCTTCGAATACAGTCGAAAGAGTTCTTTTATGCAGTATCAGTTCAATTGTATTTGATCAGACAAAACATGTGTCGATTCCTGGTAAGGACTATTTTTCCAAGCTTTGGGCTTGGAGCTAATATCTTGATCAGATATACAAAGGGCGCAATGAGATCCGTCTCAGTAAGCTGATAACCGAGCCAAGCCATTCAATCCTTACTCAATCATACGATTCACGCCTGAGACTGGTAGGTTGTCCCATCTCGCTAGACCAGACCCATGTGGTTAGCATGTCGCAACCCACTGACATGCAATATCAAGGATAATCGCCGTCCTGTCAACGGTGATGGGTTTGGTGTGGGTTTCTACACAGATCCCAAGCTTGGACCAGAGCCTTGCATCTTTACCTCAACCCTACCAGCCTGGAACTGTGAGAATCTAGAGCGACTCGCTGCAAAGACGTGCTCAGATCTGATTTTTGCACATGTGCGCGCAACAACTGAGGGTGCTCTTGCCGAAAACAATTGCCACCCGTTCCAGCACCAATCCCTGATGTGGATGCACAATGGCGGCATTGGCGGGTGGAGCTACATCAAGCGTACACTGGGAAGCTCACTCGCCGACAAGTGGTACTTGGGTGTCAAAGGTGGCACCGACAGTGAATGGGCTTTTGCCCTGTTCCTTGACCTGCTAGAAAAAGAGGGGGTAGATCCAAGCTCTGACCCCGGTCCTGAGGGATTCGGACAAGCTCTTCTACGTCGTGTTTTGATGAACACCATTGCCAGAATCAATGAAATGGTCCAGGAAATTCCAGAAAAATATAATGTTACTGGAGTTGAGACTCGGAGTTTGTTGAACTTCGCTGTGACAGACGGCCATACTGTTGTCTGCACTCGGTACATCAGCAGCAAAACGGACGAACCGGCCAGCTTGTACTTCTCTTCCGGTACCAAATGGAAGGAAGGTGAAACAAAAGGACACTTCAAGATGGAGCGACATGATAAAGGTGCCGATATTGTTCTTGTGGCCAGTGAACCTATCACCTTTGAACGACGTGAGAAGCCTTTCCCCAATTCTCCATACCTATCGACATACGCTAATTTTATACATAGACAATTGGGTATCAGTCCCAACCAACTCAGTTGTCACCATTCACAAGCAGACTGTTATGCTTCACCCAATTCTTGATGAATTCTATGGCGAGAATCTCAACCACGACCGCTCTTCCTGCTTTGCTGTGTCCAAGGGACTT